TCAGGGAAAATGAGGACATTGGCAAACTTATGGAAGCTATGATACCATAGCTTGGACAGCTAGCACTGGGTCTCACTGGAGTACCCTGGGAACTATGTAGAATAGAGTATGCCTTCAATGTGTCCACACCAGACATGGGTAATACACTGGCTCCCACCATTCATTGACCAAGGGATGAGCTAAAACATTCCCATTTCCAGAAATGAGTGTGCACATAACTGAGAGGACTCCTACAGACAGCTTCATGGATCTAAGGTCAGGGAGCAAGAGCTGTCCCTGGCAATCTGAAAAGTGTTGTTTCATGGCACTTCCTCCTAGCTCTCCATTCACAGCAGTGCAGATGCTTAGTTAAAAATGTCAGTCATGGGCTGCAGACATGGCTCAGTGGTTAAGAGCATTGGCTGCCCTTCCAGATGACCCAGGTTCAATTCCCAGCACCCACATAGCAGCTTACAACTGTCTGTAACTCCAGTTCCAGGGAATCTGACACCCTTACACAGACACACGTGCAGGCAAAACACCAATGCACATAAAATAAGAATACGTAAATCATTAAAAAATGTTTTAAAAAATGTCAGTCATGGCTCAGAAGGTAAAGGCACTTGGTATGTGTCTTAGTTTGGGTTTCTATTGCTGTGCTGAGACACCATGACCACGGAAACTCTTATCAGGAAAACATTTAATTGAGGTAGCTTGCTTATAGTTTCAGAGGTTCAGTTCATTACCATCATGATGGGAAGCATGGCAGCATGTAGGCAGACATGATGCTGGAGAAGTAACTGAGAGTCCTACATCTTGCAGGCAACAGGAAATGGTCTGAAAGTCACACTGAGGGAAGCTTGAGCAAAAGAGCAAAAGAGACCTCAAAGCCCACTCCCACAATGACACACTTCCTCCAACAAGGCCACACCTCCTAATAGTGCCACTCCCTTTAGGGGCCATTTTCTTTCAAACCACTACAGTATAATTGTAGATCTGAGTTTGATCCCCAGAACCTATGTAAAGGTGGAAGGAGACAATTGACTCCACAAAGTTGTTCTCTGATCTGCACATGTTCACCATGGCATATCAGTGGTTCTCAATCTGTGGCTTGTGACCTCTTTGGGAATTGCAAAGCAGATATCCTGCATAGCAGATATTTATATTAATAGCAGAAAAATTATAGTTATAAAGTAGCAATGAAATAATTTTATGGTTAGGGTTCACCACAATATTTGGAACTGTATTAAAAGGTCGCAGCGTTAGGAAGATTGAGAACCATTGGCATACACACACATCATGTGCACACACACAAATACTAATTTTAAAAAACATAAATCAACTCAACACCAGGGAATGGAGGCAGAGTCGGAAGCTCAAGGTCATCCTCAGCTACGTGGTAAGTTTCAGGATAGCCGGAACCTAGTTTCTTTCACTGAACATATGTATTTGAGAGTCAGACATGTGGCATGTCTCAAAATCTCAGCCCCTTTTAATCATCAATACCCTGTGGGATACATATACCATGGTTCATTTATCCATTCAGCAGTTGTAAGACATTAGGCTGTTTCTGATTTGAGGCAATTGTTACTAAATATGCCCTCTTTGCACAAAGGCTTTTGGGTGAACATGTTTTTACTGGTCTTAGATAAACTCCTAGGATTGGGACCACAGAATCAGAAACATAAATATGTGACTGAATAAGCATTGGCAGAGCTGTGTTCCAAAGCAACCCTACCATGCCACTTACATAGTGTCCTTGACAAAAACAACTTAGGATTGTGGGTCTTTCTTTTTTGACATTTATTTATTCTTAAGGGGGAGGCATATGCCCATGTCACAGTGTGCAGATGGAGGTCAGAGGACAACATTTGAGAATCTGTTCTCTCTTTCCACCATATGGGTGGGATCCAGGGTCCAAACTCAGGTTTTCAGGCTTGGTGGGCAAGCACCATCACACACTGAGCCTTTTCATCAGTCCCATCAGTTGCTTTTATTTATTTCTGATAAACAGTACCACAATAAATATCCCCATAAATAAGTCATTTTCTATTAGCTGTTAATATCTTTATATCATACACTGAGAACAAGAACAAGTAAGCTAAAGGATAAGGAAGGTTGTTTGCTGTCATCAAACAACCTCTGGGTGGTGGTGCCAATTTGCTCACCTGCCAGTTAGCTTTGGCATTGTCTGCCTTTCACATCCTCACCAATAGTGTTCAATGTGAATGAATGTTTTTATCTATTTTTAAGTTCTTATTATTAAAAGGGCTAGGATCTCATATGCTACTGTTGTGCAACATTCCTAAGGAGATGGAAAAGAAATGCCTATTTACCCTAATAGTGAAGACAACGGACCAAAGAAGGATTTCACTGAATCCAGCTTGGTGAGTAAATGAGTTTACTAAGATTACTCACAGGCACATGGGTGACTCAAAGCAGCTGTACCACTGCAAAACCCCACCCCTCTGTCATTTTTTTAACCTTTGATATATTTTAGTATTTCCAAGATTCATTGTAGCTGGAAAAGGTATAACTGTTTATTTTGTTGCCATGGCTACAGTCTTCTGTAAATCACCATAGTGCCCTGCTTCATGACGGTGATAATCATGACATGCCCACAGAAAACAGCAACACTATGATTGCCCTGGATGACTCTGAGCTCCTGGCTCAAGTAATCCTCTTACTTATAGCATATGATTACATACAGAATAAGTAGTTGGTACTATAGACGTGCTACCACATTCAAAAAAAATCATGCTTCTAAGGGAAATTTTGAGATGTATCTATTTTTGGTGAGCATAGTGATAGATGTCAATTAATGCATGGTGATTACAATCAGTCAGTCACATTCTGTTTGGCCTCTGGAATTCCTCATCAGTACATTCAGTAGTGCTGCTCTTACCTGCAGAATGTAATTAGTCCTTCTAATTTCCTGAGCTGCTGACCATGCATTTGGGCAAAGTGGTTTCACAAAATAGGAATGCCTGACTGAATGAGACCTTTCTAAGGTTACAGATCAGATCTACTCAACATGGTATAAAATTAGACTAGTCTAAAATGAGAATAGATTCCTCTAAGGCTTTCGTATTAAGTGTCTTCCTCCATTGCTTTCTACTTTTGATGTTGTGGAAAAGTTTCTCACTTGAACTAGAGTTTGTTGATTTGGCTCGTCTGGTTAGACACCTTGCCCCAGGGATACCCCAAGCCAACATTTACAGGGGTGCTGGGGATCTAGACTCAGCTCTTCAGACATATGCAGCAAGCACTTTACTCACTGAGCCATTCCTCTACATTTATTTCAAACTTTTAAAACTGCTACCCATATTCAGAAATATCTCAGGAGCATTTATGGTGATGCACAACTGTCATCCCAGCACTTGGGAGGTTAAAGAAAAGAGCACTAATTCAAAGCCACCCTATATACTTCAGAGAAAACTTGTGGTGGTGCATGCCTTTTAATCCCAGCACTCTAGAGGCAGAGGCAGAGGCAGGCAGAACTCTATGAGTTCAAGGCCAGCATGGTCTGCAAAGTGAGTTCCAGGACTGCCAGAGCTGTTATACAGAGAAACTCAAAAGGGTAGGGGGCGGGGGGGGGGGGGGGGGGGGGGGGGGCGGGAGAGGAACAAAGCCAACCTTAGGAAGAAAATACATGTATCTTCCTGAGGCAAATTTAATAAAAAGCAAAAAAGAATTGTACAAGTATGGTGGCACTCACTGGTTAAATTCCAGCACTCTGAGACAGAAGCAGGAAGACTGTTAGTTCAATGCTAGCCTGGGCAACAGAGTGAATGCCCAGACAGCCTGGACTACACAATGAGGTCGAAAAACAAAATAGTGATTCTTTTTAAGTCTATACTTCCTATTACATTTCACTTCCTTGAAAATATGCTCACTGGCATCCACTAATAAATAGACTTCTATTATTGGGCTGTGTTATTTCTTAAGCGGTGCTCTTTATCGTGCAAGAGAAGCCATGAGGCACAACGAAACCCACTCGTAAGAGTTTATTAAGGGAAGGGAATAGAAGGGGTGTGCATAGGCCTATGGAATGACCGTGCAGGAAGAGAGGAGAGGAATAGGTGGAACCTGCTTTTATAGCGCCCCCACCCTGCGTGCATATGGGTTTATGTAGCTAGGCCAGGCACGTGCATAGATTATGTGATCGTGCAGCACACCACAGATTACATAGGACGTAAGGCCCTACACTGGGGGAGTAGCTAGGAATTCTAACAGGTTGTCCAGAATTTTAAGGGTCCAGTTTTAGAATCTAGGTCAAGATTGCTTCTTATTTACAGTGTCTTTGGCCACCCTGGAGAGCCAACTGTAATAATACTGTCTCACACCGTTTTGAACGTATTATTCCCATGTTCTTTTTTTCTTCTTGTAAAGCTACATCTTATTCCTTTATCGGTTATTTCTACAAATAGCTCGGGGACTACAAATGTACTCGGTATTAACTCCAGTGTGGAGGCTTTGAAGAGACATGGGCCTAGGTTTAGGTATCACCTCCACCATCTCCAGGTGATCTTAATGAAAGATCGTTGACTATTGAAAATTCAAGTTTCCTCCTCTGTAAAATGGGCATCATTAATCTGAGGCTTGTAAAGGCTTCCTAGTAAGTGCTCTGGAAGATGATTCTTGAGGTGCTATTCCTCAGACCAGCAGCAGTCATTCACAGCATCCGGGAACTTAGCAGAAAAACCAACTCTCAGTCATCGACTCCGAAAGACCCAAGGATGAGTCAGAGCAATCTGTTCTGACACGTCTTCCAGGTAACTCTGACTCCGGGTTGAGTCTGTGACGCCATACCATCCACAACACCTCTCCACACTGAGAAAAGGAGCAGCCAGGACCTCGACCTCTACAACTGCAGCAACACCCACCGGCAACGCTTGGGAACTGATTCCGTCTTGGCTCCGCCCTTTCCCGTATCAGGGCCCTCCTCACACGCTCGCTGATTGGTGAAGCCTCTGGAGGCGGCTCGCCAATCACCCGACAGCAGACACAGAAACGGTTGAGGTTGCGCCTGAAGAGAGCAGTGCTCCTATTGGTTGGAGATCACGCCGCAGCGCCGTGCGTACGCACAGCGGAAGGTGTGCCATCAGCGGCCGTTGAAAAATGGCGACTGTAACCGAGCTGAAAGCTGGTGAGTGCGCCGAGGGGACGCTTGCCAGTGGGAAGCGTCGCGCCTTCCGTCTATGATAGGGATAGGACGGAAGGAGAGCGCGCGGAACACTGGCTCGGCTCTTTTAGGGGTCGTTCTGAGGTGGCAGGGCCCACGGGGAGTGACCGCTGCGCATGCGCTATGGGAGGGCCAGACTTGGAGCTGGAGGAAAGGACTGGAATCTTCAGTTTCTGAGAGGGTTGCAGGTCTGTTTCTCAAGACGTCTGGTCGCCTCTCAGAACCCCGCTGAGCTGACAGCGCCAAGGCTAGGCCATGTGTTCAGGGTTTTTGACCATGACAAAGTGATTATGTGCAGGGCTCTGGGTTCCATCTCCAGAACTGCAAAAACAAAGAGTAGCCATCAATGACACGTGTATACTGTTAACTCTGAATAGTAATTGTAGTTAATGTTTGAGTCGTAATTGTAGTTAAGGTTCAGTGTGGTTATCCTCTCTGTAAGACACAGGTCATCCAACAACTACTTGATGTATGTAACAAATCTTCTGTCCATTTCATACATTGGGGAGTTGAGGTGCCCAGAAGTGGAATATTTCACCCAAGATAATTTAGGTAGAAATCCCGTAAGTACAGTAGCACACCAGGCGTTAATCACCATGCTATTCTGCTAAACAATGAATAAAGCCAGTTCCGAGTTTCAAAGAATTCAGAGACTAGCCAATGGTAGTGGAAATTTGGAGAGGACGAAGTAGCGTAGTTTGGAGACTGTAATGCAGTAACCATGGACTAAATGTGTTGGGGGCACTGTGCTGGTGAGCAGTTCAAAAACAGACATGCCTCAGTCCCCAGGAGGGACTTCACGTGAATCAATAAAGCTCTTCTGGGAGTGGGGTATACATAACACGTGTGATGTTGTATAAATTTCTCATGGGATTTCAAGATAATTCAGTGGGAAATAAGTCATGGTTAAGATTGGTTCCTGCTTGTCCTCTGCTGCTGGTCCTTCACCTTTTCTACTGCTTGAATAAAGACTTGAAGCTGGGGTCGGTGGTGGCACACGCCTTTAATCCCAGCACTCGCGAGGCAGAGGCAGGCGGATCTCTGAGTTCGTAGGCCAACCTGGGCTACAGAGCGAGTTCCAGGAAAGGTGCAAAGCTACACAGAGAAACCCTGTCTCGAAAAACCAATAAATAAAATAATTAATTAATTAATTATTTAAAAAAGATTGGTTCCTGAAGAAGTATTTATGGTAACAGCATTGTAAGCATAAAATACAAGAGTAAAATAATAAAGAACTCAGAGTGACACCCTGAAGGTTATGGGTGGCACCTATAGATTTAGGGGTCTCTTTACATATTTTTTTTCTGTATTCTCGGGCTCTTAATATGCTCTGTGTCCAAGAGAAATGTAATGAAAACTTGTTTCCTAATCAATGATCTTCTATTTTATGGGTCTTTTACTCGTTTAAAGCACTCTCCCATCTCACCTAAATCTTTCTCTGAGAGATAGAGTTCATTGCTATGGAGAAGGCACCTAAGACATGGGTTAGGAATTTACCACCAAGTCATGAAGGACATGCTATGTTTCCCAATTCCAGCTTCATTGCTTTTCATTTTCTGCTAAGATTGAGGCTGTACTGTGTGTACTCCAGAGTAATTGGGACAGGATGGTTGCCAGTAGAAAAGAATCACTCCATTTAATTTCCAAAGATGGAAGGAGAGAACAGGGGTTGTGTTATGATCCTAAGAGTATGATAAAGCTTTCCTTTTATGGGTCTGTTACAAAGTATAATTGGTTGACAACTGCAATTAGTATACCTGTAGAAAGGTTGAAGGGATGAATGTTTTAAAAACAAAGGAGAAGAAAGAAGAAAAGTCTAAGAATATATCTTTAATCACATGGGCAAGGATGTTGTTATTTACCAAAGCTTAGGAACTTTGCTGTATGTAGCTAAGCGGATAAGCTGTCTTGTGAATTTTAATTATTGTAGCATATTAATAATGCTTTTGCCATTGGCAGAGCAAAGTGCACGTTAAACTACAGGCAGGCGGATCTCTGTGAGTTTGAGGCCAGCCTGGTCTACAAAGCCAATTCCAGGACAGCCAAGGCTACACAGAGAAACCTTGTCTCAAAAAAAAAAAAAAAAAAAAAAAAAAAAAACAGAAAACAAAAAAACCTACTTTTTTTTTTCACCAATAGTATAAGGCACTATTGGTATTATATATTTGTAACATTTAGTGAGCTCTTGCTGTATTCTAGGCATTATATTGATTTTTTAGAATTGCCATTTAGACACAAAAGACTATTTGAAAAGGGAAGGTTCCAGATTACTGTTAAGGGATGGTGACTTTTTTAAAATTAATTCTTTGTGGATTTCACATCATGCATACTGATCCCATTCATCTACCCATCCCTTCATATCTACCTTATGCCCTTGCAACCTCCCCTGCCAACATAAAATCAAATTTTAAAGAAAAAAAAAAACCTTAACATACCAAAAAAAAGTCTCGGCATACATCTTTATTTGTAAGTGTTCGTTCCAGTGAGTCATTGGTCTGGTTTCAGGCCTCTCGTTTTGCTACCATCTTGACACTGGGCCCTCACCAGAACTCTTTAATATCCTGTTGTTACCTTGTGTCATGGAGATCCTGTAGCTTTGGGTGTTCAGATCCAGCCCCTTCACATACTTCAGCAGTTCATAGATGAGGTGGATGTTGGGGTGGGCTAACTCACAGCCCTGGTTCTGGGCCTGGGTAATAGCTGGGTTGGGATGTGCATACTCCTGACTCCTTAGGTTAGCAGTCTAATTACACTTTTTTTTAAAATTTATTTTTATTTGTGTGTCTTTTCTGTTTGTCTCTGTGTGTGTGTGTGTGTGTGTGTGTGTGTGTGTGTGTGTGTGTGTGTGTGTACATGTGTACAAGAGTGCAAGTTGCCTGAGGAGGCCAGTACCCGTGGAGTTACAGATGGTTGTAAGCTGCCCATGTGGGTGCCAGGAAGTAAACTGAGGTCCTCTGGAAGAACAATATGCATTCTTAACTACTAAGCCATCTCTTCAGCCTCTCGTATTACATTTCTAACCAGGCTTGAAGTTTTAAAATCCTACTGTTGGGCTAGGGATATCGGTTGCCTATCATGCATGAGGCCCTGGGTTCAATCCCCAGCAACACATACATTGGGAGTGGTCATGTACACCTGTAATCCCAGCACAGCCTACAAGAGGATCAGAAGTTCAGGGTCATGCTCAGCCTACATAAGTTTAAAGTTAGCTTGGGTTACAGCGTAGATATGAGGCCCATGCTGGTCTGACTTCCCAGCCTCCCAAGTGCTGGGATTACAGGAATGTGCAACATTCCCAGCTCTACATCCCTTAAAGCAGAACAAAACCAAAACCCAAAACACTTTTTTCATTAAAAATCAGCTATGGGGGTTCCAGGACAGCCAGGGCTACAAAGAGAAACCCTGTCTGGAAAAAAACAACAAACCAGCTATGGATTTCAGCAAGGTGTGTGGTGGTGCACACCTTTAGTCCCAGCACTCAAGAAGCAGAGGCAGGCAGATCTCTGTGAGTTCGAGGCCAGCCTAGTCTACAGTGTAAGTTCTAGGACAGCCAGAACTACGTAATGAGACCCTGTCTTGAAAAACAAAACCAAGTCAGCTATGAATCTCAAAAGTATCATCAACAATAATGAAATATTCCCTCTTTTTGTGGAGGATAATTGTTTTCCATAACCATCTTTCTGGACTAAAGGCTATTAGTAATGTCTGGGTCCCCTATAGATTGGCAAACACTTGAAAATCTGTGGGAGATTGGAGTGTAAGCAAACTGTAATTCTGTTCACCCTTTTCTCCCCCACCAAACTACAGTCCCTAACTAAAGATACAACATGGATAAACTTGAATTTGAACAAATACATTGAGAGTGGATTATTATTATATGGAGACTTTAATTTTTACAAACGTAGCTTATGATATCGATATCATTGTTCAGCTTTCTCTTTAAACTAAGAGCTGTATTTGTGTCATTTTCCTTTTAAACATTATTCTTTAGCACATACCTGAAATTTCAACATTTTGTTTATAACAGAACCATTTTTGTTTTATATTTAACAGTTTTAAAGAACACCTTGGAAAAAAGGGGAGTGTTAGGACATTTAAAAGCAAGGATCCGTGCTGAAGTTTTCAATGCCCTGGATGATGATCATGAACCCCGACCATCATTGTCTCATGAAAACCTTCTAATTAATGAATTAATTAGGGAGTATTTGGAATTCAACAAATATAAGTATACAGCCTCTGTCCTTATAGCAGGTAAGTGGTTGTTCATCTCTGGAAAAAAGCTCTGTTTTACCCTTTTTCTAATTCTTAGAAAGCAGTTAGCCTGAATATGTAATTTCATTACTGTGTCTTGCAGGTGACTGAACACTTAGCATTCCATGGGCTCTTGTCATAGCATGAACAGGTTTTGGTGAGCTTTATGCTGTTGGGGAAAGTAAGAGCTAGGACCTTCCACTGCAGGTTCTCTATGTACTATTAAGCACACGTGCTCATAAAGGATAATGATTTTGATATGTTGAGGATCTCTAAAGATCCGTTATTAGTGTCTATTTCCCTCAGTTTGTTACAGCTGGCCATTACCTAAGTATCATCCCTAGGATGAAATAGTGACAGTGCTCATTCCATATTAAGTGTTTTAGATTGGTATGATTGCTAATGCCTATAATCGTAGAAACTCAAGGGCTAAAGCAGGAGGACACTGCTTCAAAATACAAAATAGAAAAGCACTGGGTCAGTAGCTAGCTCAGTGGGAGAACACTTGCCTAATGTGTGAGGCCAGAGGCTAATTCACAGCACTTGTGGAGAGTGGAGAGGAGAGGAGAGGAGACTGAGTTTCTGTTAATCAAGTTTGCCTTTTCCAGAGTGCCATATAAGTGGAAGCCTACAGAACATGCCTTTTGACACTGCCTCACTTCACCTAGTAAAATACACTGGAGGTTCAGTCATGTTGACTTTGACCCTGTGAATATGAAAATGTTGTGGCTGTGCCATTTCATCTGCTCTTGTAGACATTTTAGTTATTTATACTTTCTGGCAGCAGTGAATCAAATCCTCAAAAGCATTTACTTGGAGTTTTTGTGTGAACATCGTTTTATTTTTTTAGATAAATAACTAAAGATGGAATTGCCAGTTGTCTGGGAAGTGAATGCTTCCCTTCAGGTAATAACTGCCACTGCTTCTGAGTGGCTCTATCATTTCACTTTCACCAGGGAAGTGGTGGCTCACACATGTAGTTCCAGCACTCAGGAAGCCACAGCAGAAGAATCAAGGCCAGTCTAGGTCACATAATGAATTTGAGGCCAGTCTGTGCTAGAGTAAGACTCAGTCTAAAAATTTAATAATTTTAATTTTAGAATTGCTATCCCTAAATGTATATATATTTTTAATGAATTATTTAGTATTACCATGTGTTTAATCTGTAGGCATCTTAGGAAGCTTACTGAAGTCCAGCATTATAGTTTTAGATTCAGAAACCTGCCGCGGACTGGGTCTCAGTAGGAACACCAGACCGAGGGAGAACAGGTTGAAGGTACTCAGGATAAGTGGGATTCGGCGAATGACAGACAGACACAGACACCAGAGTATGCTGTGAACTGCTGCAATTTTACTCAGATCAAGCAGTGTTTTTTATACAATCATTTGAAGAAACATGGCAATCGGCCAGTGGGGCGATAGACATAGAATCAACAATGTGGTCACACAATTTTCTCAGAATGATTAATAGATCTCATGAGTACAGGTGCTATTTCCTCTATTGTGATTCCTCATCCAGAGAACATTATAGCACTAGCTGAAGTTTTTCCTTCTACGTAGTTATTAGACCTTTGTTTTGTATCAAAATTAAACCCTTCCCACCATCGTTCTAACCACGGTTTCATTTGTGTGAAAATATTTAACCTTTGCTTGCAGGTGAGAAGGCACCAGGGGGGTTGGGACCTAGCTATTCTTTCCATGAACTGTAACTTATGCCATTCTGTTTTCATACTATTATGATTCACCCATTGGTTCCCATGTTTATCATAAGCTCCCGTAAAGGGCAATGGCTCCAAATAATTATTATATCTAGGATTAAAGTTAGGGGGTTGCCACCACCGACCCTTGATGAGAAACTCTGTTTGTCCCTTGATAATTCTTGTAGGACTGGCTAGTTCCTGTAACTGCTTCCTTGCAGCTGCTGTTGGCTGCGCATGTGGATTGCTTATGAGTTCCTGGACTTTTACTTTCATCTCTCTTCGCTAGAATCTTTGTCCCTCTGAGTCATAAGTTCTTTTTGTTCTAAGTCATTCATAAATTCCCCCAAACTTCTAGGACCCTCTTTAACTGTTTGCCTAAAAGCTTGAATTATAGGTGGGGGTATTGAGGCCACTTTTGAGGAATCATTATTCTCTTTATGGGGCACATCAGAAACATTGAGAGTTAACTCCCTGAAATCAATACACAAGGAAACAGCAATAGTCACAGCTGCAAAGAGAAAAAAGGCAGAATGCCAGCCAGCTTCTGTAAGCAGATTTTGCGTGGTTCCGTGTAGCCTGGCACCATGATTCGGGCAGATTGATAAGGGGGTCGCCGGGGGCATAGACCCGAGGGCCGCGAGCCCCCCTTTCCCACGTAACCACCTCATCCAAGGCATTTGTCACGCGGGCGACACCGTCGTGGGTGTGGCAGAAACCATATTACCAAAGTGAGTATGTGGTAAGCTGTAATGAAGTTCTACATTTAATTGCATGAATATGTTGACATCATAAAGTCATAAGCAGTTTGATCTGTCAACATTCTCCCAAAGTCTGAGAAATGTGTGTACCTAGCAGGTGTGGTTATTATCAAAGTTGAATTTGCCTTTTTGATTAATAGACTTAGTGTTTTCTTGAATTTTTTTCCCCCCCAGAATCTGGTCAACCTGTAGTTCCATTGGACAGACAGTTTCTCATCCGTGAACTAAATGCCTTTGAAGAATCAAAAGATAATTCAATGTAAGAAGTTTTTAAAAGAGGTTTACAGATGTTGTATTCAGATTCAATTGCATAGTACTGGCTATGATTCATTTTAATCCAGCAGGAACTTATTTGGGTTTACTATATGAGGTCCAAGAAGTGTGGCAGCATAGTCACCTGAGCTCTCTGCTGAGCTGAGCTTGCTATGTCTTCAGAGAACTGAATGCCTAACCAGCCACCCTGCCTGCCTGCCTTCCTCCCTCCCTCTTTCTTTCTTTCTTGAGAGCTTTTCCCCCAATTTCTTTCTTTCAGTGGTAATAATTGAACCAGGGCCATGACTGCTAAGGGTGCAACACACCCTGTACCTCTGAGCAGTCTCCTTGGCCCAGCCCTCTACTTCTTTCTTTTTTAAACTTTAAAAAAAAAAAAAAAAATGTGTTTATGTGGATGGGTGTTTTGTCTGCATGCATGTTGTTCACCACATACATGCCTGATTTCCTTAAAGGCTTTGGAGCTGGAGTTATAGGTGGTTGTAAACCAACAAGTAGGTAGTGGGAATTGAAGCTGGTCCTTTGAAAGAACAGCCAGTGCTCTTAACTGCTGGGCCATCTCTCCAGCTCCCCCTTCATTATCCCCCTACACCCTTACTTCTTTCTAAGGATTGTTCTTCTTGCCCTCCTGATCTTTTTTCTTCTTTCTAAGGCTTTGTTCTCTCCTCATTGCTTTCTTCACTCCAGTATAGGAACAACAACAACCAAAAAGCCCTGCCATCAGCTTCCTCTCACCCCACTACTGCTTACATTCTTTCATTGCCAGACCTCCTTTGTCTGCCCTCTGTTTTCATGTTACCGTCCCTGTCTCTTCTGCTGTCTGCATTGTAAATACTCCTCCTCATTTACACTGATCATTTCTTAGTTCTTTCCCTGTGTTTAATACCTTACATTTTTCCATAGAGTCCCTAACTGGCTTATTAGTTTGTGCCTAGTGCCTGAGTGCACATCTCAGTGCAACCTTTCCTAGCGGGAAATTTCTTAGAAGACTTATGTTTTCTTTCTAAAAGTTTGTTGAATTTTTTCATTTGTTTCTTATAATTATGTTTGTCTTACCATAAACTGCTGTACATGTATGCCATTTAACCTAACTCTCCCTCACCGCGGGCACTGAGCAGGTTCTGTCTTCTACTTTCATTTCTTTTGCATCCCTCCCCACCATACTCTTGAGTCTCTAGTGAGGTCTGTGTAGGACAAATGTGCTCGTTTTCCTGAGTTGGGGCTCATGTGTCCGCTGACATTTTAAATGCAGTGTGTCCAGAATACAGGGGTGTTCTTTTTGCCTCCTCACACCTTCCTCATAGGCTTGTCATGTACCTGCTCAGGTTTTGGGATTTTTTTGGTTTTTTTTCAAAACAGGTTTTCTCTGTGTAACTGCCGTGGCTGTTCTGAAACTTGTTTTGTAGACCAGGCTGGCCTTGAATTCACTGAGATCCACCTGCCTCTGCTTCCTGCATGCTGGGATTCTGTGTAACTGCCGTGGCTGTCCTGAAACTTGTTTTGTAGACCAGGCTGGCCTTGAATTCACTGAGATCCACCTGCCTCTGCTTCCTGCGTGCTGGGATTAAAGGCGTGAGCCACAATGCCTGACTGCTGCTCAGGTTTTAAAGGTAGAGTTCACCACTTAAAGCAGAGCTGTGTGTATTTTCTTCCACTTATGAGAGAATTGTATTGTATATATACATCTCTTTTTCAAACACTTGAGTTCCTCTTATTTGGGAGGAATTGTATTTTGTCTCAATTTGTTTTTATCTACACATAATGTAAGGGTGTCTATTGAAGGCTCTCTCTCTGCCTCATTTTCTTTCCATGTAGAACCATGACTTCCCTTTTGTTATGAACAACTCTCATGTTCTTGTGTCATTGTGGATTATTTATTCCTGTATCAATGAGGGATTTTCCAGCAAATTGTACCAAAACCTATCTGACACATGGTATAATGTGGGATACTGCTGTAGATGCTGTAGATGTGGCAGCACACTATTTTCTGTAGTGTTCCCAGAGAGTGACGGGAATATTCTATGAGATGCTCACAAAAGGTCATTGAACCACATTTCCTCTTGGTCATTCATGATGTGCATAAACAGAGCATGTGCCCCAAGAAATCCTGCCACAGAAAAAGCCTTTGTCATCTAAATTGGTAACCAGATTTGTTTGGTGAAGAAATCTTTTTTTTTTTTTTTTTTTTTTGGTTTTTTGAGACAGGGTTTCTTTGTGTAGCTTTGCACCTTTCCTGGAACTCACTTTGGAGACCAGACTGGCCTCAAACTCACAGAGATCCGCCTGCCTCTGCCTCCCGAGTGCTGGGATTAAAGGCATGCGCCACCACCACCCGGCTGGTGAAGAAATCTTATGTCATCTAAATTGGTAACCAGATTTATTTGGTGAAGAATCTTTAAGGGGGCGTAGTCCCCATTCTGCAGAGATAGTGGTCATGGGTACAATAATCACTGCATTTGAGTGTTAAGCAAAACAAGGCAATGCTTTATACATTTGGACAGTTTTTGAAATGTGTGAAAAAAAGTCTCTAAGAGTAGCTTTCTTAGTGTTCTGTTGCTATAAAGAGACACATGACCACAACAACTCTTATAAAGGAATGCATTTAATTGGCTTGCTTATAGTTCCAGAGGTTTAGTCCATTTTCATCACGGTAGGAAGCATGGCAGCACACAGGCAGGCATGATGCTGGAGAAATATCTGGAAGTTCTATATCTAGATCTCCAGGCAACAGGAAGAGAGGAGGTACTGGGACTGGCTTGGGCTTTTGAAACCCCAAAGTCTACCCCCAGTGACATACTTCCTCCAACAAGACCACACCTACTCTAACAAGGTTACACCTCCTAATCCCTCTCAAGTAGCACCACTCCCTAATGACCAAGCATTCAAATATATGAGTCTATGGAGGCCATTCCTGTTCAGACTGCCACAGTAGCTACCGGTGAGCAGTTGGGTATGGGGTTATTCAAGCAGAAGGCATTAGTTTGCAGTTAGCAGGTGTTGGGAGTGAGTAGCTAGCTGTTAGATCTTTTTTTTTCCTAGCTCTTTGGTAGCCTCTGAGACAATTGCCTCAAATGAGCAAGTTAAAAAGGGAACTGGTTACCAGCTTTATTTCCAGAATGTGAGGGAACATGTTGCAGCCTTTCAGGGAATTGGGGTGTATGTATGTGTACATGCTGGAGACCAAACTTGGGCGCTTTTTTTTTTCTTTTGGGTTCTTTGAGACAAGGTTTCTCTGAAGCAAGCAGTCCTGGCTGCCCTGGAACTCACTCTGTAGACCAGACTGGCCTTGAACTCACAGAGATCCACCTGTCTCTGCCTCCTGAGTGCTGGGATTAAAAGTGTGCACCACCACCACCCGGCTAAAACTTGGGGCTTTGCACGTGATAGGTGAGTGCTTTCCCACTGAGCAGCATGAGCCACCACCGCCTGGCTGCAGCCAGTGCTCTTAACCACTGAGCCATCTCTCTAGCCCTCTGCTTGCACCCTTTATGAAAGAGAAATATCTGTCAGTTTCAGGAGACTAAGATCTTCCAAGGCCTGTAGCTGGCTGTTGGCAAAAGCAGGATTTGAAGGCAGACCACATGCTTTCTAGGCATAACCTTGACAAGACAGTGGATGCTAAACCAGTTTTAGGTTCTAGGAAGGTTTTTAGGCTAGGCTTGCAATTGAGAAGCTGAATTCCAGTGGGTTGATTATAATTTCATTACAGTTTAGATGATTTTAATGGTGTTAATGTTTTTTCTGGGGGGTTTAAAAATTCTCACTCAAGAGCCAGGCAGTGGTGGCACATGCTTTTAATCCTAGCACTCAGGAGGCAGAGGCAGGTGGATCTCTGTGAGTTTAAGGCCAGCCTGATCTACAGAGTGAGTTTCAGGACAGCCAGGGCTACACAGAGAAACCCTGTCTGGGGGAAAAAAAAATTCTCACTCAGGTTAATTGGTAGTTTTAAACTGAGAGTGACCATTTGCCACTTGGATAATAATCCCGTGTCTTTTGCGATTTAGTGAGTTAGATGCATTTACAGTGTCAGAGTTTACCTTTAAAGCAAATGTCTTAAGCTTTTTCTACTTATGGGAAGTGAATTGATTTTGGTTTTGCCTTCTTCCTGAAATAGTCCTCTGTTATATGGAATTTTAGCCCATTTCTTGCGTGGTCCTCCAGATGACATCCAGAATGTGTTTCTGACAGATTCAACACTCCAGCCTCCAAACAGGCATCCCAGCTGGAAGCCCAACAGAAGACCAAAGGGTAGGCGCTTCTGATGTTCTTCCTTTAGCTTCATTGACTTTATTCTCTGGAGCTTTTGAGTCCTAGCTTAATTTTGCTTATGTCTAGTCCAGTGTTAGCCTGTATTACTTAACCTCCAGAAAGCCAAGTGCTTTGGGGAAAGAAAACCTTTACTGGACAAAGTGATGATAATTTCAAAGTCAAGGTCTTGAAAGAAACTCTGACTTTCACATCAGTGTGGTCTTTGGAATAGCCTGTCTTACCACACTATAGTTTCCTTTGAAATCAAGAAGTCTTCTCCCACCTCCCACCTTTCCCAGACTGAAAAATGCAAGGCAAGATTACTACTATACAGAGAAGCCATGTCTGTGTGTGCTATTACATTTTCAGTATACTTTCTGTAGTAGATGACAGTTATCTACAGATAACAGATTCTTTTTCAAAATACTTTTGAGACAGGCTCTCGCTCTACTTCTGCTGTCCCTGAGCTTACATCAATCTTTCCTCAACCTCTTAATACCAGGATTAGATGCATGAGCCTTTGAACCCAACTCAGAATGTTCATCTTTAAAATGAACTTTCAGAGTAAAGCATGGTGGCTCAGACTTGTAATCTAGGCAATGAAGACTGAAGCAAGAAGATCTTGAGTTTAAGGCCAGCCTGGGCTACATAGTAAGACCCTGTCTCCAAAAATAAAACAGATAGGACTAAATAAATAAGAAAAATAATAAAGTGAAATGAGCTTTTGGTTGTTTTGATCACGTTGGCAGCAGGTTCTGAGTTGGTTGTTTGAACTGAGTGCATTGTAGATGGGTGTTTTCCCATGTGGTAGAGTTGGCACTCTTTCTCAAGGAGTGGTTACAAGTGGGGTTCAGGCAGCTAACATGAGAGTTGAAATAAATTCTTAATACCCAGGATGCAAATTGCTCTGTGAAGTTTTGTAAGGTTCTATGACCAACACTGCCATGTGAGTGACTTGGTGCCTCTTAAGTTCTAAAAGTGACATACTTGTGAATCAGGATAACGTTATTTGTGACTTGACTGGTTTTATCATCTGTTGTGATGCTGAGCTGACTGGGTTGGACAGTCATTCCTACTAACTTCCAGAGAGCTAAGGCTGCTGTGACTCAATGCAGGCCAAGGTTCAACACAAGGCTGCCATCCAGATACAGCCAGAGCATGAGTATAGGAGCTTTCTAAGCTTATGCCAGAAATCACTAAGGCCCAGACCCTAGGGCAAAATACTATTTTATAAATACTTAAAATGCAAAATAAACCACTAGCCATGTCAATACATACAGAAACTTCTGAAATTCTCAAGTAATGTAAAGTTCCCTTTAATGTCCTCTGCCTTGCCCATCCTAACTCCCCAGATTCCCTCTCTTTCTTGGAAGGTGCTCCTGTTGACCTTTTATTAGTCACTATGGACTGATTCTGTGTGTTTAAGAATCTGCATGTGTGTTACCTTGCATTGTGCTTGTGGAACAGTGGGTCTGGGTCTCTGTAGTGTGGTATTGTCACACCTCTTATTTTACTGATGAACTAGGGCTAAGGTTTTGGGTTTATAATTGTGTAAGTTGTATCTTTGTCTATACATACAAGTATCTCGCCTGTGGAGGTGCCTAAAGCAGAATTGCTGGTTCACAGACAACATAGGCATATTTAAACATGTGATTCATAGTATTTAGTCCCCTAGAAAGGCTTTACTAGTGTTTACACTTAAGAATGCATGACAGTACTCAGTTCCTGTCCCTCTTGGTTGCTGATGATACATTAATATAGTTAACATAGCAACCACAAGACACTGATTTAGTCTCATGAAGAAAAAACAAGGTTTTGAGAAGTAACTTCTGGTTTGTAAATGTGTTAGAATCTCCTTAATATTAGTGTTAATGGCAGTAGAGAGTTGAAAGTGAGGAGAGTAGTCATTAACTAGGGTCAGTTCTTCTGATCACCTTCCTGTGCGGGGGGGAGAGAGGAGGCAGGCAAGCTGAGGAGTGAGACATGCTTAGATGCACAGTGCTACTAGCAGTGTGGGTCCAGTCAGTAAAGTGTCTTTGGGCACCTGCTCTGTAGAAAGCTCCAGAGAAAGCTCATAAGTGAGGGTGGCTACAGAACTACAGGGGCAGTGATTTTACAAATTATTTTCTTTTTTGTTGTTTGTTTGTTTTTTTGAGATGGGTGGGTTCTCTGTGTAGTCCTGACTGGCCTGGAACTAGCTCTGTAGACCAGGCTAGTCTTGAACTCAGAGATCCACCTGGCTCTGCCTACAAAGTGCTGGAATTAAAGGCTTGCATCACCATTCCTGGCTTGCAAATTATTTTCTTCATCATCACATTTTTTTTTTCTTGGCACACAGTGACCTCTTTGTGCAATGCCTTAAGAAGCGCCCTCAGCCATAGATCATCATTTGTGGTTGCTCTCTGAGTCCACATGACTGCAGGAGCCATGTGGCTCCACTTGACAGCTCATCTGGCTTTAGTGGAAGGTATAAGGTGCTGTCGAGGATCACATAGGCACCCACCTTCAGAAAGATAGCCTGTCACCTAGTCCTGTGCTGAGTGGATGTGATCTTTGAGGCAGAGTAGGTTTTGCCCTAAATAAAAGTTGAGATTTTTATGATGGGAAACCCATCTCAGTTCTGTTTTAATGTGCAAAAATAACACAGTTTGGGCCAATGAGGTGGCTCAGTGGGTGGGAGGCATTTACTGCCAAACCCAACAACCTGACAGCCTCAGTACCCTCACAACAGAAGGAAGGAACCAACTGCTAAAAGTTGTCCTTTGAAGCTGGGCAGTGATGGTGCACACCTTTAATCCTAGCACTTGGGAGGCAGAAGCAGGTAGGCAGATCTCAGTGAGTTTGAGGCCAGCAAAGCCAGTTGTAGACTGAAGTTTCTGGTCCGCCCAGACAGCAGCTGTTCTGCCCCCAAATAAACACATAGAGGCTTATATCAATTACAAACTGTTTGGTCTATGGCTCACGCTTCTTGCTAGCTAGCTCTTACATCTTAAATTAACCCATTTCTATTAATTGATGTATTACCACATGGCTGTGGTGTTACTGGTCTGCTGGCATGTTGCTTCTTGGATGGGTGGGCAGGCATCTCCCAACTCTGCTTTTCTTCTCCCTGTCTCTTTGCTTGGATTTCCTGCCTGGCTATAACCTGTCTTGCCATAGGCCAAAGCAGCTTCTTTATTAACCAGTGATAGCAACACATATTCACAACATACAGAAAGACCACCCCACAGTACTTCCATTTTTCTGTCTAATCCAAAAGGAAGGTTTTTATTTTAACATAGTAAAATTACATATAACAAAAGTTATCAAGCAAGAATTATAGTTATAATATCTAGTCTATTTGTATTTGGCAAAATTAAAGAAAATATCCTATCTATCTTATCTTTATGAGTCTAAAGTTTTATATCTAATTTACCTTTTAAAACTATATAACTATCTAGTCTTCAACTCCATCGAAGACCCCAGAAGGATCTAATATTACCTAAATAAACAGGAAGTGCATTGTAAGCAACTTCCAAAATTCTAGAAATAACAGAGAAGTCTGGCTGTCTGGACAGTCACCCGAAGTTCCTCTGTAACATTGGAGCTCTATCTTCAGCCTACAGGCCTCGAGTCTCTGGCATACTTTTTGGTGAAGCAGGAAATTTGAAGGACTGTTTTGCCTATTTTGGCAAAGTTTGTTAGTTGCTTTTCTCTGTGTCCTGCAAAATGTCTGGCAGTTTCTTCTGTGAAGCAGGAACCTGAAGGACCATCTCACCCTGTTTTGGCAAAGTTCAGAGGTTATTTTCCCCTGGGTCCTGCATGTCCAGTTTATACAACATACTGTCAAGCAGTTCAGGCAAGAGCAGTTTCTTGCCCAAATAGCCTTTTCCACATTGTAAGCAAACTCCATAATGAGTTTCTTTGATGCCCATCATCTTTTTTGAAGTAATTGGTGCTGCCAGAAGCAGATGTATCTCATTGTTTAGAAAAGTCTTAAGTTTTTAAAATATTTTAAATGCCATATTTTCTAGGTCTTTGACGTGTTTGAAGATTACCTACCTAATTAAAATATATCTTTGTATACTTAGAAAACTAAACTAACATGACTATAAGCTTGATTATCATAGATGACTAATTATTAATCTGTATTTCTTAATTATACACTACAATTTTAAATGAGTTGCTTAAACATAATACCTTAAACAAGAGTAGAAATATATATACAGTATAACAAAATTGACCTTAAATTTGTATCTGTAAACCAAATCTGTATCAAATGTAAAGTATTTTGAGATTTTTTTTAATCAAAGTAGATTCAGTAATCTTTTTTTATCATTTCTATATCATATCCCCTTTTTTTCTTTAGAAAGAGATTGCGTTCATAATCAACTCCTTTAAATAAAAACAAACATTTATAAAAAATATTTTGGGAATTTGGGCGTAGTTTTCTATACTACTTCCTGCTGATTGGGGCACTGGCAATCTTATGGGGATCCTGAGAAAATTTAGAACTATAGTTAAATCTTGGCTGTGGTAGTCTGTGAGGCTGCATCATCTCAGCCAGTTGCCTTGAAGCTTTTCTAGATGTTGGACCATCTGGGCCATGACTGTCATCAGAGACCTTTCAGAGGGTCTTGGTTTATCAATCCATATCAGCCTGGAAGAAATCCACAGGTTTTTAAGATGTCAGAGCTATCTAACAATAAGCCTGAGTCATAGACCAAACTATTTGTAATTAATGTTAAGCCTCTGACTGGTTATTGGAGTAACGGCGGGCAAGAAAGATTTATCCAGCTACAGCCAGTTCCAGGACAGTTACACAGAGAAACCATGCCTCCAAAAACCAAAAAAGAAAAAAAAGTTGCCCCCTAATTTCCACATGTACCTGCTTTGGCCTGTGTGTACACACTCACATGTATGCATATGTGCTCACATGTTTGTACATACACAGAGAGAAAAATTACTTTAAAAGCCCTTCATTTTTTAATTTAAATTTAAATTTTACCTGTGTTTGTCTGATTTTTGTTTTTGAGACAGGGTTTCTCTGTGTAGCTTTGGAGCCTGTCCTGGAACTTGCTTTGTAGACCAGGCTGGCCTTGAACTCACTCACAGAGATCTACCTGGCTCTGCCTCCTGAGTGCTGGGATTAAAGGCATACCCAGTTTCTCTTTCAATTTTATTTTATTTAGTAATTATTTTTATTACACTGTCGGTGTGTGCATGGACTGCAGTACATATGTGGAGATTAGAGGGCAACTTGTAGCTGCTAGTTCTGTACTTCTGTGTAAGTGTTAGGGATCAAAGTTGGGGATCAGAGTTTTGTGGCAAACATCTTTACCCACTGAGCCATCTTGCAGGCTTTAAAAGCACAATTTCCTGGATAGTGTTACAGTTTTGATGTGAAGATATAAACTGTACTCCTTTTTTTATATGTAACATGAGGGCTCAGCTAGCAGGCAGTCATAGTAGTTTTGTTGTTTTGGATGATTCTACAATGCTGATTGCACACTTGTCCTTCCTCATAAGTTGATTCCTTATATCTGAGAGAAAGGCTCACAGGGCTCCCCTCTGTACTTCAGTCAGAGAAAAAAGAAAACCAGGTTGGACATGTAGTGGAAGCCTGTGATGTTGGCACTCAAGCTGAGGCAGAAGGCCAGCCTGGGATACATAATGAGATCCTGTTGCTTCTCTACCCAATGAAGAAGAAACACTTGAATTATTACATTTAGTCTCTAATACTAAACATTTATGATTTCCTCATGACAATTAAGAAATGAGAACTCACAAAGTAGAGCTAACAGGATGGCTCAGTAGGCTTGCTGCCAAGCCTAATGACGTGAGTTCAGTTCTTGGAACATGTGTTAGAAGGAGAGAACTGATTCCTTCAAGTTGTCCTCTGACCTCCACATGCATGCCTGCCAGCCCCCACCCCCACAAGTCAATACATATTATAAGAAAAATGATAAAATACTAATATAATGTCCTAAAATATATACAGGTATACTTGCTTGTCTTCCTGTTTTGATTTGGAATGAGTATTAACACCTATATATTTTCTCTAGATGACCACCTGAGGAAGGACACGGGGCCAAGCACCACGACTGAAGAGCTTCATGCTGCTGTGCAAGCAGTCAGTAGATGATATATATACCAGGCTGTCTGATCTCAGCTGTGTATGTGGAGTAACTAACTTATTATTCCCGATACCATCGATTAGACCACCACAGTTTGTAAATGTTTGATAGTCTCCATTTAGCCCCTCAAGTTTTACTGCATCTATGAAAAGCTAATCCATCATCTAGCTTGCTAGAAGCTACTGGAGAAAAAAATGTACTGTTTTCAGGATTTTTTTTTGTTTTGTTTTGGTTTTTTTGTTTGTTTTTCGAGACAAGGTTTCTCTGTGTAGCTTTGGCTGTCCTGGAACTCAGTCTGATCAGGTTGTTGTGGCACTCACAGAGATCCACTTGCCTCTACCTCTCAGGTGCTAAGATTAAAGGTGTGCACCACCACCGCCAGGCCAGGATGTACTTGTAAAGTTCCTTTTCTTTTTTTTTTTTTTTTTTCTTAAAGATTTATTTATCTATTATATATATACAGTGTTCTGTCTGCACATATCCCTGCAGGCCAGAAGAGGGCACCAGATCTCACTACAGATGGTTGTGAGCCACCATGTAGTTGCTGGGGATTGAACTCCGGACCTTTGGAAGAACAAGCAGTGTTCTTAACCTCTGAGCCATCTCTCCAGCCCCTCTTTTTCCTCTTCTTTAGAGGCCATCTCTAAGGGCTGTGAATGTGCCCCCAGTAAAGCACTTGCCTTGCATGTGTAGGTCCTGGGCTCAGTTGTAGCACTGAAATAAAATACAAGTACAGATCTTTGTCCATATGCTCTGCTCATTAAAATTCCTTCAGCTAGAAGTATATAGACCTGTGGGAAAACCCATTCATGTTTTGAAAAGTATTTCAAGGGCATTAAAACCAGAACTTATTCCTATAAAATTTGATTTTTAAGAAATATCTCAATTATTGTCTGCCCTGGCTAGTTTTTCTCAGCTTGACATAAGCTAGAGTCATTTGGGAAGAGGAACTCTTAATTGAGAAAATCCCTCCACCAGTTTGGCTTATGAGCAAGCCTGTAGTATGTTTTCTTATTAATAATTGACATGGAGGGTGCAGCCCATTGTGAGTGGTGTCACCCCTGGGCAGGTGGTCCTGAGCTCAGTAAGAAAGCAGGCTGAGAAAGCCATGGGGAGCAAGCCAGTATGTAGCACCCATCTGTGGCATTCTGCCCTGACTTCTCAGTGGTGGACTGTGATGTGGAACTGTACACAGAAATAAAACCTCTCCTTCCCAAGTTGCTTTTGGTCATGGTTTTTATAATATCAGTGAAAACCCTAAGACACTGTCTAATGTTGATCTTTAAACTAGATAACAATGCTCTTTTCCCAAGAACAGTTTGGCTTCTACTAGGGAATTTAATGAAAAGGTAAAGAGGGAAATAATTCTTTTAATTTTGCTTTAAGTGAAACAGAGTTTATTTATTCTGTAAAGAATGTAAGCATGACAGGACAGGCCTTGGGAGAAGTGCCATGTAGGAACTTTAATGGAGGCATTGTCAGAGCTCCTTGTGGAGCTCCCTTTTGCACACAGTGACAGCTATAGAGGTGCTGACGTTTGTTTACATGGACTCTGAGAGACTTAGTAAACATGAGTTTTTATTCTTGGGATAGGAAAATCATAAGAGCTGCTACAGTTCTGTCTCTAAATGCTACTTTGCTGTTTATCAAGGAGATTTTTCTAGTGTAGCCACAGGTTTATTTCACAGAACACAGCTGTTACCATCAATGGCTCCTTCCTGACAAGAATTGCACAGTGTAAGAGTCACATAGTTTATATCATAGATAAACAAGCATGGGGGACATAGCTTAACAATGTATAGCCAAGTGTGTGCCACAGGAAAGAGATGACTGCTGTCAGTGGCATTGGTGACTTGCAATGTTACCAATTTGAGTTGTATTTGGTGATGCCTGTCATCCACTCCTCAAAGATGGATTGAGAACATTACTGTTAATGCAGAATGTGATGAAGGAAACCCCCTTAGAGTGGTCTTTACCACTCTAAAATTCTTAGAAACCCTCTTGCGTAAGGGGATCCGTAACTGCAGAGCCTTAGAGGAGCCCATTTCCAGTTTTTCCTTTCAGTGTAAAAATATAAATGTATTTAGAATGTATTTCCTGTTGATCCTCCTTACTGTACTTTCAGCAAAGACAATAAGCTGATACTGTACTTGAAAGCATAGTAAAAGGAAGAACAGCCTGTTGACATTGACAAGCTAAGGGTAGATTGCTGACACATAAAGGGTGCCTACTCCTGTAATGTGTGTGTCAAAAAAGCTCGCTGCCATGGTATAGGTACCTGGACACCTCCAGACCTAGAGGCAGTACAGAGCCATGCAAATAGCAGCCCAGAAATAGTGCCGACCCCATTTCTGATGGGGGCTTTGTTTCTCTCTGTTTTGTCAGAGAACATGGGACACGGTTCTGTTTTAGGGTGGCAAACAGAAGCACCCCCACACCCCATTAATGATGACTTCCAGTGAAGACGCACAAGGAATGGTCATATAATATACTGGCAATTGAAGTTTTGAACACATGGTGTTAGAAATTGGAGCCTTTTAAATTGGAGTGTATTATGTCCATATTCCTTTTCATACTTTGCAAGCATGGTATAGAATATACATTTTATTGAATTGGCTGATGAGGGCTTATAATGGCTGGGTCTAATGTTGTCTTTGACAATTTTACAGTCTTGAAATTCCATTCCTATGGTGCCTATTTTGTAGTTTTGGTTTTCCCAGATAATAATTATTTCAGTGTTAACTTGGAGATTTTCCTTGGTTGCATGAATCTCCTCCAATAATTTCTCACAAATTCACAGTTTTTCTCTTTTTAAGATTTTAATTTTATGTATATGAGTTTTTCCTGCTTGTGTGTCTGTGCACCATGTGCATACAGTGCCCACAGAGGCCAGAAGAGGGTGTCATATCCCCTGGAACTGGAGTTACAGGCAATTGTAAGCCACCATATGGGTGCTGGGAACTGAACCCAAGTCCTTTGCAAGAGCAGTCAGTGTTCTTAACCTCTGAGCCTTCTGTCCAGCCCCCAAATTAACTCTTTCTTAACTCTTTATTGTTAGACTATGTGCTTGTGTGTACCATTTCTTCCATAGGCTGAGTCCTGCCAGCACAGCCTTCTTATAGATTTAGAGAATGTTTTCAGTAGGACTTGTGATTGACTTCATATGGACAAGACAGACACAATATTTAACAAGTGTTTTGGCATCTAGGACATTTGTTACCAGGTCAAACAGGGTGCTTATAGTTCTTGGGGCAGCCCTTACTAATCTGACTGAGCTTTTCCAGTGGTAGAACTATCAGGGGTGGTGTGGAGGCCTTGTTTCTAGGTGTGTTCATGTTACTATGGTGATTGTGGTGGTGGACAAGGTCATAGCTAAGGCTGTAACCCTTCTGCTGTTTACAAGTCAAGGCTTTGGAGCTTTGGAGATAGTGGGGAAGTTTATCTATTGCAGAGTTCTGTCTCTGGCTTACAGAGACTTTCTGAATGTTCTCATCTTAGACTCAACAGTGCAGCCATGACCAAAGCTGCATGAGCTTCTTTGACTTCCTGAATCACTTCTCTCTGTTAACTCTCTCTCGGGAGAGACTGCAATCTGATGATCATCCTCAGAGTTATTCCTAAATTGGCTAATTTGTTAGAAGATTTTACAGAAATAAGGGTTTTCTATTGTGTTATTTTTGCTCACTATAGGATTTTTGATATATCTTTTAAAAATACTTATTTTAGGTATGTGCATGTGTGTACACGTGTGTATATAGGTGTTCATGTGTGTAGGTACAGAGGTGCTGGGTCCCTCTGGAGCTTGAGGCACAGGCAGTTGTGAGCAGCAGCCAATCTTACCTGAGCTGTCTTTCCAACCCCTCAGTATTCATTCATTCATATTCTCTCCCCCCCCCTCCCTCTCCCTCTCCCCCCGCACCACCACCCTGTCTCTGTTGCTCTGGTTGTCTCGAAAACCACTTTGTAGACCAGGCTGGCCTCAAACTCGCAGAAATCCTCCTGCCTCTGCCTCCCATGTGCTAGGATTAAGCCTTGTGTCACAACATCAGACCCCTCAGTATTTTCTTTATTGGCAGTTTTTGTTTCTGTTTAGAAATTTTTTCCTTTTGGACCTGGTCTTCAAGTGTCATCACTCTGACCTCTGTTTCCTGTTTGTGTGCAAACATTGTTTCTCGTCTTAGCAGTACTTGTCATCTTTGCTCTCAAAAAGTGTGCGCTGGGCTCTCAGCATTGGGAACAGGTCCAGGTCTCTGGACTTGGGGTGTTCATCACAACCTGGGTTCAGAGTGCTTGTCTCTCAGCCTCTAGCTCTGCAAACTCACTTAGGCCACCAATTTCTGAAGCTCACACACACCCCATTTCCACTTCTAAATCTGCACTGACTATAGTTATGAATTCCATTATGTTCTTTGTGCAAATATAAGATCCTCCCAGAGGCCTTGGTTAATATTCAGAGGTGTCAGCTATGGATGCTGTGCTACCTCAGGAATTGCAGTTATGTAGGGCCAGACTAAGGGAAAATGCAAGTGTTTATAATTTTGGATATTGTTGTGAAATTACCAAAATGGAAGATAAACAGAATTGTCACATGCATTCCTGTGTTTGATTCTAATCTGTCTATGCCTAGGCAATGTTTTACTTTTAATGATTGCTTAATGAAAATCAACTGAGCTCTGTAGAAGCTATCATGTCACTATCTTGTCATCCAGAGAGGACCCCTGAAACAAGGATGACTGGAGCTGGTTCACTGGGCAGCTGGGGACTGAAGGCCGAACTGGTACATGTGTGTACTTGATATCTGCCATTCCTTCATAGGGTGTCACTCTCAACTCTGGAGGGTCATTGTCACAGCCTGGGGGACCTGACATGTTTGAAAAAAGGAAAACCATCTATTTTTAATTTTGGTTTGCTTTCTGCCTATATTTAAAATGTGTTACCATTTTTGTTTTTTAATTATCCAACTAGAGAAGAGTTTTGTGTTCCTTTTTTTTTTTAATGTGTATGAGTGCTTTATTGACTTTATGCCAGAAGAGGGCATCAGATCCCACTATAGATGGATGCGAACCACCACCATGTGGTTGCTGGTAATTAACCTCAGGAACCTCTGGAAGACTAACCAATGCTCTTAACTGCTGAGCCATCTCTCCAGCCTGGGGTTTTATATTCTTTTTTTTGAGACAGGGTTTCTCTGTGTAGCTTTGGAGCTTTTACTGGATGGAACTCAGTCTGTAGCCCAGGCTGGCCTTGAACTCACAGATATCTGCCTGCCTCTGCCTCCTGAGTGCTGGGATTAAAGGCATGTGCCACCACCGCCCGGCCAAGGGTTTTATATTCTTAAAATCTGAGGAAGAGCCAGGTCATGGTGGGGTACACCTGTAATCCAGCCAAGTACTTGGGTGATTCAGGCAGGAGTTTCTAGGCCAGCCCTGGCTGTGTAGCCAGACCCCATGTCCCCCCAAAAATCAAGGGACTGGAGAGATGGTTCAGTGGTTATCACTTTTTGCTCCTGCAGAGGATCTGATGCCCTCTTTTGACCTCTCTAAGCACCTGGACTCACATGCTCATACTCATACATAAAAATAAAAGAAACCCTAATGATCTCTAAAACAAACAACACCAAAAATAGAATTGAAGAAATCTACTGTTGCCGTCTCTTCATGTGGAGTTTATGAACACTAGCTGATTTACTTCCTGTGGCTTCTTAAAAACGTTTGTAGGCTGGAACGTTTGTTTTCAAGACAGGGTGTCACTGTGTAGACCAGGCTGGCCTAGAACTCTTAGATGTGCTTCTGCCTTCCAGAGTGCTGTGACTAAAGGCGTGCACCACCGTGCATGGCTAGGCTGGGACGTTGAAAACTCCCAAGAAAGAAAAAGCAGGTGTGTTGAAGAAAGCACAAGTCCAGAAGACCTACCAGGCTGCCCTCAGAAACAGTGATACCTCACTGGGGGTTTCTTGGGGTTGGGAGAAGCTACCTTCTAGAAATATAAGAGAAGTTTATTGAAAAACTTGAATTGACCCAAAAATTGGATGGGAGTAGAACCAGATGGTTATAGGAGACTTGGCTCTTCAGAACTTGGTCAAACAAAAATGCGTATCAGGCCCAGGGCTAGCTTCTGAAGATCATAAATTTAAGCCTAGCATATATGTTTGTGTAGAATAAATAGATAGCTTTATAATTATGTGCAAGAACACTTTTGTATATGACTTGCATGCCTG